AGATAGATTCTCATCATCAAAACAAGTAAATTCCAAAGTTTCATCAGGTGTAACGGTACATTGTACATCACTATCAATGGAACCTGGTATTTCAAGTGCGATGTTTGCAAATTGGTCAATTGCTGGGTTTTCTAATAGTTTAGGTACTTCTGGACCACCCCCTGTTCTTAATCTTTGTTTATGGGCAGTTATTTCTGATTTTCTTTTAGTTTTAATATTGTTCCAGCATTTTTTGACTTGAACTAATGTTCTCTATAACATACAAAAAATAAAATACATATATATATATAACACCAAATATTGAAAAAAATCTTAACTTTGGTCTTAGATTAATTTGAACAGATATTTTTTATAAAATCGGGACATTGATAGCAAACTAGTACATAGTAATATGTACCATTAATACACTCATGTATATAAATGTTATTTTGAATACAAATATAGATTTACCATTGTACATTATGATCAAGTGCTTCTTAAGAATGAACCACTTATTTTAACTCCTTCAATTAGATGAAACAAAACATAAGACAGTAAGAACAATTGCAAATGATGTATGTATCTAATCAAATTAATTCAAATTCAGGTTTAAACCAGACTTAAATTATTAATCTGGTTCCAATGTAGTATCCTCTTTTATTGAGTGTCCATCAAATATAATTTGGGCTCAGGTGCATAAAAATAAAATAGGTAGTTAAAATATGGCAGTGAATTATTCCATAAAAAGCAAAAAAGATATTTATTTAACTAACTGTGTAAGGACCAGAGTACTTAAAATATAATTGGCCTTAATTTCTAAATGATTTACATTATTTATTTATTTTAGAATTTAGATTATAAAATGCATAATATATTATTTATAATTAATATAAACATTAATTTAAATAGATTAATATATATTGTACACACTTGAATTTATGGAGTCTGCGCCTATGTCTATGATAGTAAAATAGTTAAATAAATAAAAAACATTTTACATTGTACATAATAATTTAATTGTACAATATAAGTTTTTATTGGAAATTTGAAATAAATACACAATTGTACTTACTATTGAATTAAATTCTTGAGTAATTTTTTCCCATGCATTATTTTTTTCATGAATGCTGGTTGAATCAGTTTTTTTGTTTTCTACTATGAAATGCTTCTGAACCAATTCCGTTGTTAATGTTTTTTCTGTTGATGGGTTAGCTATCCGTTCCCCATTATCACAGACAACAATTATATAACAGTAACTACCACTAAGAAAATAATCAAATAAAAAACAAATACTAATTAGGACTTAGCCGGCTAACTAGGTAGGCAGTAGGCACCTATGAAATATGAACTATGAATAGAATGAATTAGTTTGAAAAATGTTGATAACATAATAAAATAATTTGTGATAAGATAATGATAACTTAAACTAACCATGTTACCAAACTAATGTTCAATAAGGAATACTTAATCATTTCTTATGCTTAATGCTTTTATAAGTTATACTTTTATATTTTTATGAATACCTATTCATAAGTATTGCTTTTAAAAGTTAAAGATAAGAATAGTTTTAAGCATCGACTATGAATACGGCCATTAGTTTACCTTAAGTTTTTATATGATATGTGATAAACATGTGATGATTTATATAATTTATATTAGCGACAATAATAAAATAAATACATTTTTTTTCTATAGTGATAAAAGGTGCGTACATAGTTCTTATGTAGTTTGCTAAAATTATAGTTTCATAATTTTATTTGTGTCAAATTTCGAAATTGTGTTAACAAAATATGCTTGTACTTGGCACCGAAAGATGCTAAAGAATTGATTTATTTAAATCCACTTTCAATTATTATATGTTTTTTACATTGTAACGGTATGCTCGCATAAATGGGCGAAGCACGTTTGGGTACATTACATTATTTTTACCTGTAAATGTAGAACACGTTTGGGTACACAAATACATAGCACGTTTGGGTACATACGCTAATTGCCAATAGGTTATTTCGAAATAGGCTTATTGAGATATGATATCTTTATAAGATATGGTTTATGAAACTAACTAAATGTTTCAACGTTTTAATGTTCAGTTCCGATTTGGATTTTCAATTATTTTATTCTTTGTAATTATGGACGTGAATATTTCCGATGTTTTTGAAACCCGACGTGGGAAAAAGTGTGTTGCGATAAACAGTTATAAATTTAGCGAGTTTAGAGAAAACAAAGATACAACTAAAGTTTTTCGTTGCACGAACCGTAAATGCACTGTCACTGCTAAATTAACTGCCAATTTAAAAACGGTAATTTCAATAAATGGTGAACATAGTCATGATGAATTAGTTGAAGAAACCATCACTAAATAAACAGTGATGTCACTTTTAAAGCGCAAAGCAACTACTGATCTTAACGTGAAGCCAAATAAACTTATACGACAAGAACTACGTAATTGCCCAAAATCAGAGAGCCTAAGTCATTCTGACGTCAGGTTATTCAGGAAAAGTATGTATGAAGCTAGACGAAAAATATTTCCAAAAATACCAAAATCTTTATTCGAAGCAAAAGCTATGATTTTTCAAAATAAAAAAGATTTCGTTTCAAATAATGAACCATTTTGTTTCATGGATTCGGAAAGTAGTGTACCTATTTTTACAAATGCTACTAACATGTCTCTTTTAAATAGTTCAAAGCATGTTTTTGCCGATGGAACTTTTTCGTATGCACCAAAATATTTCCTTCAAATGTATACAATACATGTATATTTGAATGGATTTTATGTGCCAATTATATTTGTTTTTATGGACTCTAAAACACAAAAATCGTATACTGATGTTTGGTTGAAAATAAAAGAGTTATATTTTAAATTTCAAGGACAACAATTGCAATTGAAAATGATACATTTAGACTTTGAAAAAGCTGCTCACAACGCAGTATTAGAAGTTTTCGAAAATTGTCAAGTGGTAGGTTGTCGTTTTCACTTAAGTCAAGCCTGGTTTCGTCATATTAAAAATTGTAAAGAATTAAATAAACACTATACTGGAAAAACAGTTGTGTACCAGTGGCTTCAAAGTTTTTTCGGTCTAAGTTATTTACCTTCTAATGAGGTTAATGTTGGTTTTGTATCTCTCATGGCCAATGCACCACCAAATGTTGAACATTTCACGGATTATATAGTAGACACATTTATTGATGAAAATAGTTTATTCCCACCTCATTTTTGGGCAGGTGAGCCATCTATGGATCCTAGGACAACAAACGGACCTGAAGCTTTTCATAGAGATTTTAACAGTCAATTTTATACTTGCCATCCTAATTGTTTTGCAATAATAAATATTTTGTTAGAAGTTCAAGAAGAATCGTACCTAAAAATAGGTAGCATTAAACGAAATTTGCAAAACAAAAAAAGAAAAGAAGACATGGCTAACATTACATATGTATTAAAGAAATTTGAGGAATACAAAGTCGATAAAGATGTTGCAAAATATTTATCCCTAAATGGTCCGATATTTACCGGTAAAAACATTATATAATTGTAATATATACAAAGAGTTAAAAATAAATAATAAATAATAATGGTATAATATAATAAATAATAATTTAAAAACTATGACAAGTAATTAAACATTATACTAAAATATTTTTGGGAGACTAAATAGAGCCAACCTCCTCGTGGTATCTCCTGGATAACGCTAATAGGCTCTAAAAATTTAAAATTAATGATTAATAATTAAAGTGTTATTTTTCTAGGTGTTTCTAAATGTTATATTAATACCTATTTCCTATGTACCCAAACGTGTTATATTTCTAGAGATATGGTGTACCCAAACGGTGTATTCATTTGTACCCAAACGTGTTGCGTTTAGGGTCTACTGTGCCCAAACGTGTTACGGCCGCATAAATATACTTCGCCCAAATGCCCAAAATGTTGGTCGCAGTCACTAATGTGTGCTTGGGTGAAACATTGTTTAGCGTCGCTAGGTCCCAGATAGGTAATCACCCTGGTTTTTGATGATGAACCGCTGCCACGCAAGTTTAGACCCGCAGTTAAGACCCGAGAGAGTTTACCATCAGAAGAGTTAATATATCATTAAAGTCGGGAGAGTTTACAATCGCTTTCTCAACCTTTCAACCCCTCCCCCACTACGCACACTAAAAAAAATTATATCAATGAGTAAATACAAACATATGTAGCGAGATACCAATCAAGTTATAGTAGGATAGCGTAAGCTCATGTCAAACTCAAAATATTTTAACAAAATTACTTAAATTTTTATTTTCCACATATTATAGGTACCATATATATATTTTATCATGAATGTTTAGTATTTTATTATTTTGGATTAATGTTATTTTTTTTACCGTGGCTATATTCAAAATCTTTTCTGATTGAGTTCAGTTAGACATTTTATTTAAAAAAACTTAAATGATCGTTCAATAACAATTATCAAATGCGGCAACTTTGAAAAAAAGCGATTGATTATAGTAGGAAGGGCCATCAAATGGGGTATTCTTTATTCGCAATAATGTTAAAACGTCATACTTGTTATTTTAGCCCATACCCTTATTGTAATAAATGGTACAGGGTAAAATTTTTTTTATACTCAGGTATCATTATCTATTAGCTATTTATTTTATATAAAATGTTGATACTACAAAGTCAATGGTCTAATTAACTATAAAAATAAACCAAAGTATTAAAATGTATTATTTTTTAATATTTCGATTGATTTCAAAGTAATATAATTAACTACATACTATATTAAATGTGTTTGAACTTTTGGTTATTGTCAGAATGAAATGACTATAGATATTTGGCGGAACCATTGAGAACAATTATAAATTAACAAAGACCTTACCATTAACTCAAAAATGTATACGATGGAGAACGAATTAAAATGCAATGTTGCAATGCCATTGATTTGACTATTGAAGGATTCAGCTATGTAAATTATATAAAAATAAAATGTATGATACAAATATGCATACAAAAAGTCAAAAGTTAATAATGTTGTAATACATATTTGTAAAGACCTCTGTTGTCGCTGCGGCAGGTCTTACGACAACATATGCAATTTTCTGCCGCAACTTGCGCAGATGATAGGCAAAAGGATAGGGTGACCAACTTATAAATATACGCAGAATATTCAGTTTCAAGTATAACAATTTTACTGCAACGCCTAGCGTACAGTATATATATATTACAATTATATAGTATAGGAAAATTAATCATTGAATAATATGCGGGCGCCCATAAACATTAAAGTATAAAATATAGTATAATAAATGGCACGAATAACAAATAATTTACGTGTGCTTATATAAATATAATATTGATAATGGAGATAAGCTACACTGAAAAAAAACCCCTGGTAACATTGACAATATCGTCTTATTAAACTTGAACAATGCTTACATTTGTCATATAGACAATATTTTGTTAAAATGACAATATGTTTGATGAATTTATAATTATTTAATAAATTTAAATATGCATATTGTCAATAATATGAACAATAAAATAATAAAATAAATAATATATTATCAAAACAATAACATGACTATTATTGATATTATCATTTACGTTGTGGTTTTTTTAAACATTTAATATATATTTATAAGCCGGGATTCCCCAGAATTGACGATATATTGTCGTCGTAACAATACTATTATCATATTTTTGTTATAATATTATCAATAATATAAGATGATTCGTAATTCGTTTCGTTTTCGTATATATTCGATATTGACAATTAACATTTCACGCCAAATAACCGTTGCGAGATCAGTGTATTCATTTATAACAGTTATCTAGTTGTAACCAGTGTCTTAAAAAGGTTAATGTCGTTAATGATTTAAATATATCAGTACATAATTTTGTTGTATCTACCTGACGGTGTATTGTAGCTGTACGCTATACCTATATTGGTAATTTTGTGCTTTTCGAAAATTTTGATGATCACAGTATACGTTTCAACTTTCAAGTAAGTCACATAATTTGTTTATTTCTAATTTTTTTATTAATACTTAATAGTAGGTACCTATATATTATATTTTTATTTTTATTAGGCAGTGTGTATTCATTTAACAAATATCTAGTGGGTAGAAGTTTCTTCAAAAGGTTTATGATTGAAATACACCA